AATAGATTTTAACGTGTTTGGCCCACATTCGGCATCTTATGAAATAATAAGATACTACTCAATTCTAATTTAAGTAACGTTGTCTGTTCTAATGGAGAATACATCACAAATAAAAGTTTCCGTCACTTTAGGTTGGCCCACAATCACATTTGATTTAACATAACCTTGCTTCCAATAAGATAATCGCATCCAGGATTGGCCTAAGATGGCTAGAGCTCTTATGCAAGGTATGGTCACAAATGGGCTACAAGTAACTCTGTCAAACGGAATGACAAATACACCTTAAATAAGGTCTTCAATCAATTTATGCCACAGGACAAACAGTAACTTTTTTCCACAAAGATATTTTAGAAGGCCATACCTTTTCTGTGAATTGTTTTATCATTGCTTCCCGAGCTCGAGGCCGAATTACATTGGAAACTAATCGCGTTATGGGTGGCAATTGTAAAGAAATAAGATGTATTCACCCCATTTCGTTTGATGTGATAATGCGAGTTGAATGGGGATGGTGGTGTTGGTGGTGGTGGTGGTGGTTGTTGTGTTTGAATTGCCACACAACCATATAAATGCGTCTCATGTTTCCATTCAATTTCACATAGACTCGCTTAAAAGCGAGCCCTGTTACTCATGAGCATTCGTGGCTTTATGTGGTTTCGTGAGTCACTTTCATGCTTCGGCCAGTTTGGGCAGCTTCGCAACTGCAGTCCACTCGAGTCTTGATGGAAATAGCTTTTAGGAAAGCAAGACGAAGCGTGAAATGGAATGGAATGGAAACGTGAGGTCTACTCAACTGATTGTGGGAAAATGTAACTTCAAGCCGACTTATCAGCCCAAACGAAAGAAGGCGAACACGTCTTGTACAAAGGCATCCCTTTCGGCTATTCTGCCATTCTGATTCTGTTTCCAACGGCCATGGAGAGCACAAATGGCAGTCGACTCGAAAGTTTGACAGCACATTACTTCCACAAACCTTCCTTCATTGGTTACTCCGCTCGACCGGTCGCCGGCCTGAACCGCACTCGTGGCCAAGCTCTGCAGTCCGTCGTCACGCTTGTTGCGTTGTTTTGCGTCGTCTCCAAGCGGAACCGGAGCGGTTAGGCCAATGCCCGCCCAGACTACGAGCAAGAGGCCAACTGCCAGACAAAGTCGCATGGTCACCGGTTTGCCAGAAAAGTGAGTGGGTAGCCGCGTTGTCTGCTGCTCGACCAATCAGGTTTCAGACCTCTGCCAATGGATCTGGGCCAGAAAATGGAGCAAGAGAACAAGAAGAAGAGGAGACTAGAAAGTTGAAGATTGCCCGTTCTGTTCGGGATGCGTAAAGTTGCCAGCGGCTCGGTCATGACCGCCAGCACAACTACTCTCACTTTTCTCACCACTACTATCATCACCACTAAAATTAACAATACCATTAATACTAATGCCCCGAACACTATTACTATTACTAGTATCAATGACACTACATCTACCACTACTAACCTCCCTACTAATGCTAGTAGTAGAGGTGGAAGTAGTAGTAGTAGTAGTACAAACACCACAACCACCTTCCCACTACTTCCACTATTACCACTACCATAGCGAGGCGAACACTACTACCGCCAGTACTACTACTACTACTACTACTATTTCAAAAATCATTAGTAATGCCACCAGCACTATCGTTAGCACAGCCACCACCATCAACACCAGCATTTCTACTAACATGATTGATACTCATTAGATTACAATCACTAGTATTACCACCACAACTACTATTAAAATGAGTAATAATAGTAATGGTAGAGGTAGTAGTAGTAGTATTACAATAAAATTAATATGGAGGAGATAGGTTTTGTTATAATCTGAATACTAGATCGACTTATTCGCAATTCCGGTCCATAAAATAAATTGACTCGTTTGGGCCATCAAATAAAGACATCATCGAAATTAACAATTAACGTATACCTACTTATATACGAGACTATCTGAGTAGTAGAGTTGGACATAAAAATCAAGATAAACAAATAGCGATGTCTAGAGGAGAATGTTGCAGAAGTGTTAATTTAGAATGAGGACATGGGTGTAAATAGAGACACTTTATCAGATGTCAGCTTGTCTCGAATTGGCATGTGAAATGTGTGCCGAGTCAGATTGGATAGGCAGTTGTGGAGACGGCATTATGGTGGCATGTGGTTGGCGGTGATTGGTTGTTATCGCTTCTCGGCTCT